GGCCTTTTTATTGGGATACTTTTCAACACCAGTGCTTTTTTCGCTTCAGACTCATTATAGAGTATAACTATGATGACTTTTTGAGTGCATAAAAAATCTTCAGGCATAAAAGTGGTTAATCAAAGCCATTACTATCCACTAGTCGCATGATCACAGGGAGAGAAAAAAGTATCAAAATACATTAAATGTGATACTATTGATCGAGAAAAAGCATTCTGTAAATATTCAGAATTAATCATATCTGAAAATGCCTTACATTTTTTATCTTTCTCACACATTCAATTAAAGAAAACATAAAATTTGGTATCAGAAGCATGCTATCACTAAAGCTGTTTTACATATATACAAACAAGTCCTGGTATAAGTACCCAGTCTCTCAGCTGCCCACAATCATACTCTTCCATTCAATAAGGTTTAGAAAAATAACAAGTATAAACACCCACAAGCATTGTTTCCATATAACAGCCTTAAAAAACAATGACACAATGCAATACAGACTTGGGATAGGAAGATATCACTATTTCCAAACCAAATTAATAGAATTTGAGGAAGCATTCTTTTGAAAGCATTTGTCTTTGATGTCTCCATTTGTTTTTGATTAAACCGTTATATTAGAAGTATGCTTGTTAACCCCCTAGTGTATTTGTACTTGACATGTGGTCACAGGGTTCATTGTGGATCCAGTGACCACACAGACATGGGCTGCATGGCAACAGATTACTGTCAGAGAGCAATCCCGTGGAACAAGGTGATAGGGTGAACTGATATGATAAACAGGACCGTTTTGGTGCCAATACCTTCATATCAAGTTCTGTATTAATAAGAACTTGTTACAGTCTAGTGTTTGAGCTAGCTAAGATAAAAGATTTTGGTTTAATAGATCTAGGATCCTTATTAATTTTTTCTAATATGTTTATCTAAAATACTGTTTATTTTCTTATAATCTCTTGGTTAAAAGAAATATGACAGTGATAATTACTTCAAAACCAGACAGGTTCAAATTCTAAACATAGCATATACTTCATAAGTAAGCAAACTCATAAGTAAGTTCTTACTGACAGAAGAAGGAAATTAGGTGACATGTGGAAGGTGTATCCAACATGTCCAGCTTAACTTCATTGTGAAACTGAACTTTTGACCATGACTTAAAATTGAAATCTATTAGTTACTATTAGTTTCTACTTTCTGTTTACCATATGATAAATGAAGCATGTGGATAACCTTACACACTGCAGCTGAACATCATTTTTTTATACTGAATAAAAGACTGGCTGAACAACCGACCAACAAACAGATGGTCAGACTATGACAGACAGAGAGATGGACAGAGTGACAGACTCAGCCACATATGCAAAGATTATCTAGTATGAGTTCAATGACATCAATCCAAGTGCAGGGCATTCCATGCTTAGCAGAATAATTCATTGGCCAAAATAATGGACAAAGGGCTGGAGAAACAGTCAATGAGCACCTGCATGGACTGGATAAGCTTGGATGTAATTATGTATCAGATCTCACCAGTGAGGATATTCCCTTACAGCCGGTGCTGGTGTGTCTTCTGAACACAATGTTGATCAAAAAAAGAGAGTGGTGTCACTTACACATTTAGTGTGAAATCAACATACCTGGCATTTCGGTCTTTTCAGGAAGATAACTATCAAAATATTTACAAATTAAAAATCATTGTTAAGAGTTCAAAAAGATTTAAAGCAATCCGAGGTTAGCTGAGGTAAAAAGATTGACTTGATGTGTCACTTTTATATCAGAGAATAGATATCAAGAAGTGAATGGGAAGGTGATTTGAAACCTTTCTTCGAGATTCAAGTTATTTGGTATATGAATTGGTCTCTGTTCTTTGTGACAAGTCCATCTACTTTGACTAATTCTGATTTTTTTTCTTCCTGTTTTTAATAAAGTAATGCACATTCATACATATATATTTGTTAGACTAAAATTATTGTGGGGAACACCAAAGAACAAGTCATATTTTTCAATGAAATGTATGTGGCTGTCATACCAGGCAGTGCAATAATGAACAGGCAAGTCTAGGTTATGGTGTAATGAACTTAAATGTCACCATAATATTAATGCAATAAAAAGATGAGCTGGTCCATACATTTCAAACATCTATACAGAATTCCTGACATTTACTTTACACATCCATTACAGAAGATGAAAGAAGCAATTACACATATTCAAGGAATCTCTCCATCCCTGCGTGTGATTGATTACTGTGTAACTACCTGGGCAGGTGGACTGAATATGAGCAAGTTGAAGACTTAGACCCCATTCCCAGAGATTAGATCGATCCAACTAGATCGACCTAACTCCCTCGGGGTTCACGCTAAATAGCTATCAGCTGAGCTGGCATGAAAGTTAATTACCCCCTAACAGCTTGTAGTAGGCGGGACGGACATTTAAGCTGGATTATCTGACAGTAATCTAGTGAGACTCCCCACGGGGATAGATCAATCTAAAATCTATGGGAATGCGCCCTTAGGGAATTTACAGTTTTTCATACATTTCCTGAGCAAGGAATGTGTTGATTCCAACATTAAAACATCAGATTTTCCCATTCATAATGTCCTGCTTTGGTCAGAAACATATTTTTTACCCTAGTCACCACTTCATAGTTGATTCATACATCAAATATTTCCTTTTGGCAATTATTGTTCTATAATTCAATTAACTCACTGTAATGTCTTCATCACATGGAATGGTCAATTTGGACAATTGACAAGTGTGATCATAAATTTTTCACTGATAATGGTCATCCAGCTCATTACTGCACTAGACATACCATACTTTAATCAAACAAGACAGCCTTATTGGTTCACATCTGCTAAACAAAAATTTAAAAATTGAATTGACATTTCAAATTTTCTTGCACCATATCAACAGACCTAATTTCAAGACAACCATAAAACTGTTCAGCATTTAGGTATGAACTTCTGAATAAAATCACAAGCATGTATAGCACCTTCTTATAATCTTATACAAAAGACTGTTGCAGCAACTCCAGGGTTTCAAAGTATTGTTTTTTAGTACAGGGGCATAGTGCCAGATGCTGTAAACATGAACTTATGGACTTGACAATCAATGATTTGTTTCTATCAGTTTAACTTACTGGCAATGAAAGGCATCACACTTTTTATACACCACAAATAGTAAAGGCACACTGCCAAATGTGTTACCTTACATGTATTTAATAAAACACCATGTTTTCTTCCCATTACATATCCCAGGCGTCACATGGTGCACACATTCTGATAACCTAGGGAGATTACACCTGACATGGGCACACAAAATCAAAGCAGCAGAAAACCTGACACTGTAATATATGCAACATGCAAGACCAACGGAACTCGAACAATTACTGGCTTTTGCCACAAATCCACCACCTACTGAAAATGGGTACACATTTATTCAACTCTCCATTGAACACACAGATAGTAAAAAGTTCTGGACAACACACCAGGTGATGTCAGGAAAATATTTGGAAACATGGACCTTGCTGTGAATGACAACAAACACAAGATCTATTACACTAGCCATTATTTATTTACATCACTCGCCATGAGAACTCCTGACTTTTGTTGCTTTTCACACTATGGTTTAGTTACAAATTAGCAAGCCCATTTCCTGGTGTGCTGCCCCTGGTCAACACTCCATGTCCACTGGACCAATTCACCATAATGGAGCTCAAAGGCACTTTTTATTCCCATCTACCCATAAAACGTGGGACATTTCTTTTGGGTGGAAAACTTAATAGAGTTTGTTAACAAAAAATGTTAATTTTCTTTTACCGCAACTACAAGTACCAAAATGTTACTTGAAAAATATGTACAAATTTTTAGATAGAACTTTACTGGAAAGATTCTTTTAAAATAAGGCAATATCGTCATAAATTAAAAGTCTATGCAACTGCATGGGGTTGTATATTTATAAGGTAGGAAATGCCTTCTGCTACCAAAACAACAGATTTGTCTCAATTTTTTTCACATACCACAAGGCCTGCATGAACTCCCTTGATGAAAACTATGTGAAACACCACTGATCACATAGCAATGGTGGGTTGAGTAGGCAAATCAGGTGCCTTTATAAACTGGATGAACATTTATACCCACATTTAAAGGCAGTTTTTCCTGGCTGCTGTCTTCATCCCATGTAACCACTTATTCTTTATTAGTCTCTTTAACACCACAAACATGCCTGTTAGCTACTTGATACGGAATGAGAATGTGCTGACTATCTGACATGAATAAATTTTCCTAAAATGATATGTAAGCTCAATTCTAAACATTTTATGGTTTTAATTTGACTATCATTCTAAACAATTAAATGTCTTTGAAGAGAAGACACTATAAATGCTCTCAAGAGCCATACACAGAAGTTATTTGGCCAATCCAGTACATAAGTAACGTAACACATTTCTGACACTAGTTTATTGCTCTTTGATTCTTTGCATTAATCAGTCCCATAGTACAACTTATTTCTTTCCTTATCAGTGTTTTTTTCTATTCACATCCTGTCAATTCTCCAAGCTACTATGTCTTCTGGTGTTTGCATTCAACATGAACTGAACATGTATTATGATATGAAACAGTACACAAAGAATAAGGTGTGCTTTCCTTTAATAAAACCCTCTTGAAATCAAAAGGAGGTTTACACAGTGATAATCTATGACTGCAATGCTATCATAAGGATAGGACAAGGTGGTTGAAAAAGGCAGTACCTTGAGCTGATGAATGCCTTCCATCTATTCAAGTGCAAAACAAATGGATCATAAACAGATATTTATGCAAAAATAATAGTCCACAATATAAGAGGGTAAGAACATAATTAAATATATAGTATGCTCTTTGAACCTAATATAGACCTAGTTATTCTTGTTGTGCTACAGTTCCTTAGGTACTTTTCAATTTCTTCATTCAAATTTTCAAAAAGTTCTATAAACTAAAATTGCAGTATAGAATTCTGTTTAAAAAAATCTCACTTACCAATATAATTAAGGAAATGAAAATCCCAATGCACAGTGTAACATTTGCTTTTCTCATTTTTCTGTCTCTGATTTAACAAGCAGTCTGGGTTTACAAATTGCAGACAGGTATTCACCCCGTCCTAGAGTCAACAACACTCCGTTTCTGCCTCTACTTCTGTAGGTATAAAATCCTTGTGAGGAAAAAAAATGAGAAAATTCAGATATTTTCCTCCTGGCTTATAGCTGAGACTGTCTTGTGAGGCTTGTTAAGTGTTTGTAAGCTGATGCTGTCATGAGGTGCTTCATAAGAAGGAGGAGGAGCTACCTTGGTGTCGCTCCTTGCCAGGAAGTCACAAGTCAGGTTCTGTGATACATCTGAGCCTCTAATGGAATGCACAGGGAGTCTTATACCCACATTCTTGTATAAAAAGAAACTAGCCCTGTCACTCAATCAGTTAATCTTTTTGCTGTGCATAATCTAGTTGTCAGACTTACATCAAGTTTTTCTCCATGCACTGAGCCACATGGGGAGCTGACATCAGTTTTTATCGCAGGTGGGCAAGTCCATTTATTTCCAATTAAAAGAACTGATGGGGTCAAGGGTGATGGGAGTCTCTTCTCCCAAACATGATTCTTATCAATAAAAAACAGGAATTTAGCACATATTGGATTTCTACATAAAAATCAAATAATGAAATACAATTTGGTCAAGCACATTTTATGTGCCCTGCCGATGGGTATAGGTGGGTGTTAATCAATGACAAAAATGAACTAAACGAATAACAAAATCAACTGTCATGGGGACCCAGCACTAAATGCAGGCATTAAAGAAGAATATACAGGGTTTACATTGGATGACAGCATCTATAATCACTATAGTATGTGAAGGCATCTGTCAATACAAGGACATTATGTTGTGTGAGGTAAGATGAAACACGATGCCTACAGCAGACATGCATTCATGCCCACCCATTAAAAAACATCAGTCTGAAAAAATTGTTTTTCCTTTAAGGTCATTTAGATAATAGGTTGTGGGGTATTGTTTAATAAGTGGGGGTTATTCGCTGTTTCATACCTAATGAACATGGCTTTCAAAGTTGAACATTAAAGCTGGCAACATGCCCAACTCCTACTATTTGAAACATGCAAAAAACGTTGGTGTTGATGTAACATGAACTCCCATGCTAAGTGTAAGGGTGGCATAGAAGAAAAACCTCACCATAAGATGAAACCACAGCATTCTTATAAAATACTTCTGTGTGCTGCTGCAGTTTCCTAAGTAACAATGCCATTTGTCTATCACTTTCCCTGTTTAAGCATTCTGATAACAAGAACACAATAAGAACAGTGATAGGTTAAAAAAGCATTCTGAGATACTTTCTTGTAAGAATCTTTGGAACCAAGACATAAGATAAAAAAAAGTGTAAAAAAGTATTAAAAAATAGTTGTCAATCAATGTGTGACAAAAATTTGTCTGTAACAGATTTATTATCAATTAAAATTTCAAAACACCTTTTCTGTATCTCATTTAGATCACAACGGGATGTGAGAAAGTATTAAACTGGAAGGTGATCAATAACATCACTTCAGATGAAATTCTATCTACTTCTGCCTGTCATTAGACATAATTTGAAGATTCCCAGGCCCTTCAAGGACGACCTGCAGAAAGACAATCTTTCAATTTCCCCCTTAACATTCTGCTCTGGTTATGCCGAGGACAAAAAACTGTTTTCATCAGACAACCCCTTGATAGCAAGTGAGACAAAGTGCTAGCTTTGGATGCCCTCACTGTTACAGACAACTCCTCCTTTATACCATTCCAGCTCCATTACAAGTGATCCTCCAACAACACTTAGGCAAGTGGGAGCCCATCCAGTGACATATGACAAATGAGGGGACTAATTATTGTTATCATATATGGGGTATGAGGAGAAGGTGGAGGAATGCTACTCAGGTTCCAAATTCTTGACAAATTCTATAAATATATCCTTTGAAGTCAATACTCTTTTGAGACAAATTTGTAAAGCGGTAACACGTTTCAGAGCCAGGTCATTAACAATGAGTTGCTTGGTGAAATATTTGCTTAATTTCGTGCTCATTGTTTTTATCTGAGATTGTTACTGTGTCCTTCTATGAATGGCAATTCAAATGTTTTCTGGAATATATGTATATCATTAAACAACTGAAAAATATCAGAGATTGTAACATACCCCACAAGAAATAGAAGAAATGTATCTCACTGATGTTTCCACAAAACATGTATCATCTTTGGATACATATATATAATAAACTGCATCAAACAACAACTTAAAAAAAGGTTTGAAAATTACCCAAAGTCACATTTTCTCTACCTACATAGCCTGCAAAGCTAATTATCTTTCTGAATTCAGACCTTAAAAAATATCAAACCCTTCAAATTAAGTACCTGATGTCAATATTTCCTTCTGAAATGTACAGGAAGACATACAGTCTAGTGACTGGCCAATCATAAAAAGTGTATTATTTTATTAGAAACGGTATAAATATTGAATTCAAGTGAAGGTATTGGCAAAGCAATGACTTTGTGAGTAGGAAAAAATTGCCTTTTTTCATGAAAATTTGACTTGGCAGGAAAATCCCAGATGGGATACCTTTAAATCATATTTTATCATTCCAGACAGTCCATTACAACTGACCTTATGAAAAACTTACAAAATGATTATGGCTAGTAGAAAATATTCAAAATATGCTAGCAACATAAATCAACTTAAGTGTGACTACAATGTACTTCATTATGTTTCGTTTAGTAACAGTAGCAAAAAAAATCACTCCATCATACGTCTGACTGGCAAGAATGTGACAACACATAAAACATCACAATGCATGACCAAAGACCTATCTGCAGGGGAATTTAGAGATACACCCACAAAATGTTACACTTATTCAAGTCAGTGTAACCTTTTAAAAGAACAGAATGGTATAATTTAAAAATAATTCCGAAAATTGCTAGCCTACCCTGAAGTCAAATACCCTTTCACAACCTGCATTCTATCCTGTAATTCTCTGCTTCATTTAACAGTGCTCAGTTTCACCAAGCTGTATTTTAAAGACTAACTGTGATTTGATTTGACTCACTCAAGCAGAGTGAAAAAATGCTTCTCCAGCCCCAAACTATTCTGTCAGTCTGTCAATCACTGTCCCCTCCACAGACCTGGTCAGAATACTTAAAACCCACCGAAGAATGAACCTTGTTTAGAAACTAGTGATACAATTTCAAATTCAGTATGTTCTGCAAGTAAATGTTATTGTCCACTGTGGATAAACATACCACATGGACACACAGTACCCTGATACCTTTTTTGTATTTTGTGAACAAGCAGTGTTCAATGACTGACCACAGACTGCCCATGCTAACCAGCAGGACCACAATAATCACTGGACACTGATACTATGTCCAGATGACTGGGATACTCTTCTGATCTGTATGGGACCTCACCGATTAAGAGTCAAATTTCCAATCAAACTTTTTAGATTAACACCTGCTATGGCCACAAATATCATGCTGGTGGCTCAGAAGATAGTATGTCACAGCAGGACATCCTGTAGTACAATCTGATATCTCCTTGTTTACCATCTCTTTTGCTAAAATCAACAACATTTTGCATAAATATGAAATAAGAAGGGAACTGATATGAACAAAATGCCTCAAAACTATGTTTTTCTTATGTTGTGATATACAGAAAGCTTTTTAATACATGGATTATGTCATAGACATGTATCACATTTTGACAACAAGGGTATCTTCATTGTATTCTGCCCACATATCTTTATATGTATATATGTGCAAAATAAACCCAATTCGAATTTCTGATAAAGGGTTTCCCGCCAGTTAAATCCTTTGAATTCTGAGTGATAGTTACTGTATTATAATAATGAAGTAAATAAAAATTTTATTAACAGATGCTCAAACAAAAGCTCAAGCAAAGAGCATTTAATACTTATGATTTCTTTAGAGTCAAAATATGACATGTTCCTCAACTAAATGTGTTAACTGGAAAGTGGGCAAATTCTTACAAAACATCTTTGCAGAAAGGCAAGCTACTTGATACGTTTTATGTGTCTGTATTTTGGATATCAGATAAAGAGGAACTAGCTCTCTACAATTACAGATCACACCACCGCATTACAACATGTGATTTTGATGAGCATGCTAGATAAGTCTTTTCCAAATTCTTGTTTATTTATACACTAAGGCTTGAGAGCATCAAGTTGGCAATGAAGTGAGTGTGACAGAGAAGCTGGGTGTTAAGTGTGGAAATCACCCCTTGCTATATCTGTGAGATGCAATCACCATTAAAACAGAGGTAGAAATTCAGTCCACCACTTAATAAGATGTCATTGTATATGTTGTACCAACTTTCTTCACTTCTCAAAATCTGCATCACTGTAGAAGATTAAATTGCTTCTTAACCCAAAGAATGATTGCTGATAAAAGGATCCTAATACTTACATAGTTTGTATTTCACTTGACTAAATTTCTTATCAAATATAATTTGCTTTCTCAATCTTTAAGATATTAAGGATAAATGAACAAAAAAAAGAAAAAAAATTCTTCAGAACTCCTTTGTAAAGATGTATGTTTTTCTGTAAGTACATGCCTACTTGTAAGTTGATTCTTAGTTGTCAAAGTTCCTTTTAAAGAAACCAGAACACCAGTGAAGACAATACGACTTTCAACATGGTGCAAAGCTGGACTGGTTTATGTTCTTGACAAGAACTTTCATGAAGTGGGTCTACTCCCCCAAACTTTACCTCTGAATAACAACAAGTTAAGCAGAAAAAATACATTCCACAACTTACAACAGAAGTTACATTGTCAGTATTGGTATTTTGATGCTAGCTGGGGGACTATTGGAAACGAACCCAATATTACATTAGTGCACTAACATTATAATGAACTATACTTTTCATACAGTCATCAAAATTTTCAGTTACAGGGAATTACCTTTAGCAAATGGTTATAAATAAATAGGAGCCTTAAGACATTACAGGACCACATAGTGGTTAGAATAATACAAAGTGTAGCAGAGTGGTGAAAAATTCCAAATTCATTTTGGTTGTTTCAATTACATGGCAGCAATAAAAGATAATTGAATTAAAGGACAATCAAGAAACTGGGGAACTTCAAATTTCATGAACTTGAGATCAGCTAAACCTCCCCAAGGATTTATAGTCATTTTATCATAGATGTGTGTGGTAAGTACAGATAGTATAGTGATATTTTAATGCTTGGAATGGATCACTGGAAAGGGCAATGCATTCTGACTGCTGCAAAGAAGACAATCTGTTGACAGCTGCTGCTGCCACCTATTGCTATGCTTTCCAGTTACTCAGTTATTTTGTCTTAATCTCATTCTATTCAGTTTTAGGTAAAGAAAAACTATGCATATTTGTCCATTCAGTATGACACATTGATATATAAATGAATATGGCCAAATGCACTCAGGATTCTGTTAATTTAACATGCATATGTTCTATTCTGTCATATAAGAGAAAAATAC